GACACAAACAGCACTCCACCCAAGTGTCTTTTGACCTGATCTCCAACCAGCCTTTTTTGTTTGTTTTCACTGTTCATTGGCTTTTCAGTGTCTTTTGATTTATTGAAAAGCAAAGATCTATATTATTCCTTTCCTGTGAACATCATTTTATTATCTACACGTTCCATATTTTTAGCTAAAAGTCAGCTACTATTGAAAGAACGAAAGAAAACAAAGGAAATTTTTGGCAGCACTAAGGCTTTGAAAGGTAAGAGCCTTGCACCTTTTTATGTAATTGGCTTTTTTATTATGCAAATACATTTTATTTTTACTTGGTTGGAATAAGCTAAGGTTTATAGGGGATAAATCAGGTCAGAGAAATGGAAATAGAGGTTCAATTTTTCTCATGTTCCTATTTGTCAGGATGCTCAATATAGTTTTTTTTTTAAATGTTTAATTTCAAACAAGTTTACTTCTCCAATGGGACAAAAATATTTTTGATATACTATTCCCTTCTGATAGCTTCATATTTCAAATACTCTGAAACCAGTAAAGGAAACTGTACAGAAATCCATTGGGCCTGTGGCCATGCCCTCTTGGAGTTTACTTGCAGTGTTGTGTCCTGCATTTAACGAGGATTGCAGTCCTTATCTTTACCCAGGGATGAGAAACGAACAGTGGGAGCTAGGTTTACTCCCCCGTTCCCTGCCAAGGCCACAAACCCTTCTCAGTCCACAAAACTTGTTCTCAGCCACTACTCTGGAGTTCTTTTGGGGAGGATGTGGCTTATAACTCTGGAATTTTTTACAATTAAAAGCAGAGAGATTTTAGTCCAATCTTGTACCTACTTGAGGAATCTCTTCCATAAAATCCCTGACAGTTCAATAATGCAATGAACTGTTACCTGAAGAGGCAAAGCTCCTATCATGGCAATGTTCTCTCCTACCAGGAGATCTTTTTAGTGAGCTCAAAGGTTTACAAGATTACAATAATAATAAAACAATAACAATAATAATAGCTAATACTTCTTAGCACTGACTGTATGGCAGGCATTATGCTAACTGCCCTAGGAGGGAATTGTGATTATTAACCCCATATTAGAGATGAGGAAACTGAGACTTTGAAAATTCTCTGATTTCTCCCAGGACACGTGGTTAGAAGGTGGGAAGCCAGATTCCAGCCCAGACACTCTAAATCAGAGCCCTGATCTTAACCATTACAGTATACGCTTTCCTACTGAGCCCAAATCAGCATCCATTTAATCCCTACCCAATTAGTCTAAATTCTAACCTTTGGAGACAACCAGAACATGTTCATTCCTCTTCCCCATTCATATATGTAACAAAAAGAACATTAACAGGGCACCTCCTAGATGTTACATACTGTCTTCCTGCCAGTAATAGAGCAGGAAAAAAGAACAAAGTTTCTCCTTTCATGATGTTAATGTTATCTCCCTTAAATTGTTTGAAAAGACCCACCAGATTTCTAAGGGTTTTCCTTTCTTCAGATCAAATTTTCCTACTTTCAACCACTCATCATAGGACAAGGTTTCAAAGTCTTATCAGTCGTGGTAGTCTCTCTCCTCTAAACACATTCCAGTTTGTAAATATCTTTTAAAATGTAACCACCAGACAGGAACATAGTAAATCACATGCTTTCTGATGGGTCTGTTAAAAACAAGACAACAGGCCCAAAATGGAGTCATTTATGCTAAGCCCTGTGTCACCAAACCAAGAATTCACTTAATTACAATTTCAGCTCTCTCAGAAATGCAGTCTTAAATTAGTTAGTTAGGAATCGCCTGGTCAGCAGGCGATTAGTCAGGTGATCTGCCTGATAGATCCCTGCCATGCCCTAAAAGGAAAGTAACCTTGCAATAAGCAACCCACTTTCCTGTCTGGTATAACTTCCTTGTTTCTGCTCCCTTCTGCCTATACAACAAGTCTTTCAATTCATACAGCTCTTCTGAGCTCCTTTCTATCTGCTAGATTGGATGCTGCCCAATTCAAATCGACTTTTGCTCAAACAAACTCTTAAAATTTTTAATATGCCTCGTTTCTTTTTTGAACAGTTCTGGTGACAGAAGAGGGAACCAAAGGAGAGCCCTGAAGGCCCCCAGGAGCAAGGAGCAGCCTGACATAGGTACCCGTGAGCCCCTTGAGCTCACTGCTGTCTCGCTGCCTCAGGAGGCCGTGGGTGAGGCCCTCTCAGATCCTAGCTCTGCAGCTTGTGTGTTACGAGCTTTCAGGCTTTGAGCATTTCTTTTTCCAAACTGGGTCCGGAAGGCAGCCAGAGGTCCAACTTGGAAAAGGGACTGAGTCTGATTTAGAAACTGGACTGGGTCTGACTTGAAACCAGACTGAGTCCAGTCTGGGTCTGACTTAAGCTGTACTGGTTCCAGTGTGAGGCCTTGAATGAATAAAATTTTGTTTGAAGGCTGAAAAAGCAGTTACCTTAACCACAGACAATCTTGAAGTACAGTGGCCACAGTGGAGAACTTTTAACCTAGCTAAGCTTACCTATTTATGAGGTGCCCTAGAGAAAATGTCTCAGCCGAACTCCCAACGTAAAGGGTAGAGGGAAATTATTTTTCTTCCTCTGAGGTTTCTGGTGACCAGGATGAGACCCACTGGGACATCCCTCTTGCTCCAGAGCCTGCAGACAGAATGTGGCAAAGGGGGTAAGAATTCTTACCAAAGTCAGCCCTCCCATCTCTATCTTTATCTGTGGTTCCTGCTCAAGAGAGGAAGGTAAATTTCACATTGTCTCTTCCTTTCCAAATTCAGATTGGCAGGCAAAAAACCTTATTAGTTTTATTAGAGAATTAGGTCTTAGAATTGTGACTCGTTTGTTTTTTATTTATTTTTTTAATTTTATTTATTTATTTATTTTTCCCCCAAAGCCCCAGTAGATAGTTGTATGTCATAGTTGCACATCCTTCTAGTTGCTGTATGTGGGACACAGCCTCAGCATGGCTGGACAAGCGGTGTGTCGGTACGCGCCCGGGATCCGAACCCGGGCAGCCAGCAGCGGAGTGCGCGCACTTAACCGCTAAGCCACGGGGCCGCCCGTGACTCGTTTATTTGCTTTCAGATACCCATTGGTTATCGATCCTCTCTCTCCCTGGGACAGCTATTGTCTTCTTGTTTGTTTCATTTTGTGTTCTGACAACTTGGCTTGGCAGCTGTCAGGTTGGGGGCCCCAAAAATATGGCAGGGCAGAAATGTGGGTTGCCTCAGTTTATCTTTTAACAGGTCAGAGAGAGAGCAGAACTGTTAAAGGCAGACAATCTGGGTTTATGTATTGCTTCTGCCTATAATCTCCAAACCTCTTCTCTCCAGACCTGTAAAATGGTCCCATTAGACAATGACAATTTCTATCATTCAGTGATTTAAATTTTGTTTACTGTGGCAAAGTTCCTTAATATTAGGGGTGCCCTTCAAGTGTCCTCTAGTGTCACAGACAAGATGCTGGAATCCATCTTGCATTTGTAACTTCTGTTAGCGTTTATTTGGTGAGCTGTTAGGCTCCTATTTGGGTGAGTCACTTGGCAGACCACAGCATCCTCTAGTGGTCAGATTTAACCTCAAGGTGTATATTCTGAATATCACAAGAAATTAAGCTGAACCTTAGATTGTCAGGCAACTGTGTTTTGCAAGTGTGGGACAGATTTTGATTGGCTATTTCTGGTTCAATGGATGATTCCTTTCCCCCCTATATGTCAGGGAACCAGATGCTCCCCAAGCTCTTTTAGCCCACTATCCACTTCTTCATTCTAGGCTAGTTCTTCATATGAGCTCAGGAGTTCAAGCTGCTTTCCCTTCTCTTAATGATTGTAGATACTTTTTTCTTTTGGGGGTACTTCCTTATTTCTCCCTTATTTGCTGTCCCTGAATATAAACACATAGGCCTTTTAGTATGAGGATGTTACCTAAAGTTCCTACAGAAGAAATGGACAAGGAATAATCCACGTGATGTGACTGTGGTTTAGACAGAGAAGTGTTAGATTTGGAGTCAGCCCTGGATTAAAAGCCTAGCTCTGCCACCTTATTTGCTGGTGACATTAATCAGGTTACTTAACTTTTCTAAGTTACTCACAAGACAAGGGTAACCTTACAGGGTTATCATGGCTCACGTGTAAAGCAAAGTGAATTATGCAGAGTCCTCACGATCAGTTCGTTTGGTCTATAGTCCCTTCTTTCCTTGCCAGATCATCTTTTGGGGATCGTTTCTGGTAAAAGACACCATTCTTCAAATTAATTCAGAATCAGGTCTTTGTTCCCCCTCTGGTTATTTCAGCACAAACCTGTCAGGCCCTGTGAAGCAGATCTCCAAGTCAAACCCTAGATGAAGTCCTCCATCCAAACTTCAGGCTACCAGGGAGAACGGAGAGCTCTACATTACTGTTGCTAACCTCAGTAACTAATGGGGATTGCCTTTGCTGGGGAAGAATTAGGCTGAATGCAGAGGCTGCTCCACAGCATAGAAATGTAGCATTTTTGGTTTCCTCAATGATTCTTGGTGAAAATTGTGTCTCATGTGAAATCTACATTCTGAGTTATATGGAAAATCTAAAGACTAAACTCTATTCCGCCAGACAGGCAGCTCTTTGAAATCTTATGTCCATGTACCCAGACCAATGCCAGGCACAATAGATGCTCAGTTAAATCCCAAGGAAACCTAAAGGAATTATTTTGGCAGGTGAAAGGTGATGGGTAACATGTTTCTGGACTATGAGTTTTCTGACTGTTCCTTAAAACGCTAGTCTAATCCTCTACGGGATTACATGTACTCATGATCAACTGTGTCCTGTCACTTAATATCCGGAATCACATTTCCTGAGACAGAGCCCTCAGAATGTGAGGAAGACGGGGAAGGAAAAGCATTATGAAGGAAACCCTGTCTGAAATTACAGGATTGCTGTATTTTGTAAAACTTGATCTATTCTGAGTTTGCCTGGGTCCCCTGTCCCCCAAATAATCAAACGTGCCTTTGGGGAAAAAGCATATGGGAGCAACAAGAAGTATTTAGATGCATTTTATTCAACAACCGAGCCAGCCAGGGTTTGTGGTGACCTCATGGGATTTCGGAACCTTGGTTCTCAGCAAGGCCCAGATTTTTTAATGAGGACAGGCGTCTGGCGCTTCCTGTAGAAAAAAATTGAAAAAAAAATTAGCTTAAACTTTGCTGACGAAAAGTGACTATGGAGAAAAACAATGAAAAAAGATCAGCTTTATTTAAAATAGACAGGTTTGAGATTTATTCCCATTTCTCTGTCTGTCTTTCGTTCATTTATTCATTCACTTATTCATTAATTCGTCAAATATTGATTGAGAGCTATTACATACACTAGGGATACAACAGAAAGGAAAAATGTCTGTCCTTGTGGTGTTTACAGATCTGGTGGGGCGTTACGTAAACCTCTGAAATGAATGTCTAACCCATTGTTGCTTCTTTTGCTCCTGATGTCATTGTCCTAGCCACCAGGTTTTCATCTTAGCCTGTGCCTGGGCTACGGCAAGACCTACTAATTGATCAATCTTTTGCCTTAAAACTCTGGGGATTCATATCTGTGAGGTCTCACAAAAGGAAATCATATCTCTATCGCATACGATACCTGCCAGCTCTAAGCATCCTCCCCTTGAGTTATAAACCTCTCTGTTCCCCCACACTCCCTTTCCCAAATCATTCTTCTCTTCTCTAAGCTAAATATTCCTAAATCCTGTAATTGTTCTTCATGAGATTGTTTTCAGATCTCTCATTTTTCTAACCATCCTTTCCTTGAATATACTGGCTTATAAAAATTCCTCTATTTCTCTATTGCTTGAGGACATCTGATTTCCATGTATCCTTATGCTATCTTTATCTGGACCTTGCTGACTCTTCATCTTAAGAGTTTTTAATGCTTTCAGGTTCCATAATCATTAACCACTCAAAATACTCATTTCTGAGTCAGTTAGCATACACAAGCACAAACATCTAAACAGAGCACACTAGTTGACTTATTTTCTGTAGTTGTGCTGTCCAATACAGTAGACACTATCCACAGATAGCTATTTAAATTTAAATCAGTTAAAGTTAAGTAATATTAAAAATTTGGTTTCTCGGTTATACTAGCCACATTTGAAGAGCTGGTGGCGTGGCCAGTGGCTTCCATATTGGACAGCACAGATATAGAGTATTTCTGTCATCGCAGAAAGTTCTACTGGAGTGTGCTGGTCTATAGAAAAGAATTTGCCAGTAGAGATTCCCTGAGAAGACATAGAAGAAATAGAAAAAAAAGCCTCACTGAGTATCTGCCAAGCACATAATGATCAAAGAGACGTAAGCCCTTATTGGTCTACCCGTCTCAAAACCCAACAGCTAGAGTCAGAGCCGGGCTCTAGTTAACTATACAATATATTTGTTTGGGGCTTTTAATGGGCAGTAGAGAGAAAGGCAATATGGTACATTTGAAAATATGTTGCATTTGAGAAAACCACATCTTCTCTCTAGACCTGTTTTCTATATTTCTAAGAAATATAGGAAGATAAGTAACATTTTCTGGCATTCAAATAATCCCCTCATATTTATGTATTTTTGAAAGGATAGAAAGAGCAAGCAGGACTGGTAGGTCTTAAAGGTTAAGGGAATAGAGTGTCCCAGCTCTATGCTCGTATTTCCCAATGTTTCACTCTAAATATTGGGCCTTTTGGTTTGGCGCTTGGAAACGTCCCAAATCTCAAGGCTGCTCTATTGCTTTCTCCTCCCCTTGGATGGAAATATGATGTTTGACCTTAATGTCAACAACATAGGTCATGAGAAAATTAACAAGTGGTTTCAAGTTCCTTTTACAAGTCTTTAATGTGGAAATACATTCACCACAAAGCAGAACACCTAATGTTTTGGGTCTAAAACTTCAGGATAGTAGATCTCTTCCCCTGGGAACCTATTTCCACAACCCTTGTTAAACACCGAGAATTTTCTGAAATGATTTAAAGCAGACCAAGAAGAGCGTTTGTGTTACAGGGCATTTATATAGTGGAATAATGGAAACGGATGCCGTTGTTTGAGCCTGAATCAAAGTCTTTAATACCAAATCTGTTCTAGAATAATGTAAAGCTTTCTGGGTCACTCGTGAAATTTCTTTTATTTGCTTTGATCATTCTACACCTTTATTTAACCTGAAACACTTCTGCGATGCTACCAAAATTCAGAGCCCTGTTTAAATGGCATCCTTTTCACGAATACTTTCTTGACCCTTTCAGTAAGAAGAAATCTGTCTCTCCCCCTCAATCTGGTAGCACATCAGTCATGCCTCATTTGATAGCATTTGTCACAAGTTACAAGAAGCTACCTTATTTGTGCTCATGACCTATTTTCTTTTAGTCATATGCACAAGGAAAGCAGAGGAGACTAGTACAATGCTTGGCACATGTTAAGTGTTCAGTAGCCAAATAAGATAGGAAATCTGTGGCAAATCTATTTCTCTGAGTGCTTGAGTCTGATTTCCATCACCTACTTATCATTTCAGAAAATGAGCTTCTTTGAGGCTGGTTCTCATATCCAGAAATAAAAGTGTTACAAAAATATGTTTTTGGTCACCTAATCCATATAATTCATATTTGCTTATTTGAGGGCTTTAGTAAACACAATCATTACTATCACCAAGAATAATTTTTAAAATTTAAAGGTATCTTGGGTATATGAACTTTTTAAAAATCCAGACTATCTCCTGTTTTTCTGTAAAAGCATGGGTTCTTATCATACAAGTAATTTTTTTAATCAATTGAGAGAACCATTCAACACTTTCCTTCCTCTATTCCTTAACACATTTTATGTTGCACCACATTATTAATTCCTTTCCCTTTTCTTTTCAGTTTTTTATTCTTATTGGAATGCCCTCTCTCCTTCTTTATGGCCTAGAGAAAGCCTCCAAACTTTTCCAAATCCTAGCAAGCCTAATGAGCTGTTTTTAATTTTGCGCTCTCAGAACATTTTGCTCATCCTCCATTGCACACACTATATTGGCGTTGAGTGTAAGCAAATTGAGAGACAAAATCTGCTGGATTTTCTTCTTTGTCTCACAAATACTTAGTCTGGTACCTGACTTTAAAGCACAGTGGAAAGAGCAAGGATTCGGTCCCAGCTCTGCCACTTATTGCTGGGTGATCTTGAGTAAGTTATTTAAACTAACTGAGTCTCAATTTCTTCATGTATATAATGGGCTTAGTACTATTTACCTCATAGTGAATATTAAGTGCCTCGCACAATGCTTCACACAATAAATATGATTTTCTATCATAATACACACACACACTCTATACATAATCACGCCAGATATATAATAAGGAGAAAAAGAGATCGAGAATTATTTTTGGAAAAACTAAATGTTTTGTTTCTCTCATAGTAAGATTAATGTTATTGATATACTGATTGGAGCTTAGAGGGATAAGACATATGAAAATTTGAAGACAGCTAGCTTAAAATATATATTTTAAAAGAAATTCAAGTTTTTACTCACTGATTTTCCATACATAACACGCATTCATTAGAATAAGTATTTCCGTCAGTTCCACAGACAGGGTTATAGTTCTTGGTACATCCACGCACCTGATTGTTACACTGAGCCTAAAAATGGAATTAAACAGAACCATTTTCCATTCTTTGAGTTTATAGCAAAATCTCTAAAATGGTTTTCCCCTCCCTGGAGTTGGTCAGCTTAAAGATGGAAGCATGATTGTGACTAGGAGAGTGATCCTGAGTGTTCCAAGAGAAAGAATCCAAGATCTGGAGACAGAAAGCCTGGTTTTAAGTAATGCCTCTGCTATTTACAACTTATGTGATGTTGGTGAACCTTTTAGTGTCTCTGCACCCTAGTCACTTCATCTGCAAAATGGGAATGAGATCATTTCCCCCACCTCTCTCATAATGGTGCTGTGAGAGTTAAACAAGGTGAGTGAGAGAATGTCCAAGTTTACAGTTACTGCAGGGCTGGCTCGTCTCAGGTCAGCCACACCTTGGGACATTCTTCCTTGCACACTGTGGTCCAGTCACACTGGTGTTCTCTCTGTCACTTAAAGACCTTAGGTGCCTTCCACCCTCGAAGTCTCTATCCAGCCTATTTCCTCTACATCAGTAAGAACTAGTCTTTATTGAATGACTGTTATAGGCCAAACACTGTCCTAAGTGCTTTTTATGCATTATTCTATTTAAACATCACAACTGTCCTATAAACTGATTTATTATACTCTTCTTCTGGTGAAGACAACGAGGCACAAAGAGATTAAATCACCTGAGGCCACACAGCTAGTAATTCCTGGATCCGGGATTCAAACCCAGTCAATCGAGGTCCTGAGCTTTAGCTCTGAACCACTTCACTCTACTACGCTCCCCTCCCCAGTTATATTTGGCTAACACTCATTTACCCTTCATGGCTCAAAGGAAATCTCACTTACTTAGGGGCACCTTCCCTGATCTCTCTAACTAGGCTAGGTTCCTAAAGGTACCAGACCTTCTTTATAACACTTATCACAAATATAATAATTTATTCACTCATGCACTTTTGGTTTGTCATCCACATCCTCGCTAGATATAAATGTACTGAGGATAGAGACACTTCTTCCTCTGGTCTCCAAATTTACTGACATTTACCTTATAAACACAGGAAAAAAAGGAAAAGTTAGATATAGAATATTTTTCTAGGGCCAGCCCCGTGGCGTAGCGGTTAAGTGCGGGCACTCCACTGCTGGGGGCCCAGGTTCGGATGCCGGGCGCCACCAAGGCACCGCTTGTCAGGCCGTGCTGTGGCGGCGTCCCATATAAAGTGAAGGAAGGTGGTCACGGATGTTAGGTCAGGGCCAGTCTTCCTCAGCAAAGCGAGGAGGATTGTCATGGATGTTAGCTCAGGGCTGATCTTTCTCTCACACACACACACACACACACACAAATAAAGTTTCTTTAAAAAAAAAAACAATATTTTTCTAGAGGAAGAACCCAGTTTATTATTTTCTTTTGCTTATTCTAAATTAGAGCCCCACCTTGATGATTGGGAGAACTTTATGCCAACATCGTCACACTGTAAGGAAGAAGGGCTACTCGGAGTGAAGTTAAGAAGACTTCCACCTCAAATCTTTGTCCTACCAGATAGCCCTAGTATATGTAAAGACCCCTTCACAGCAAGCGCTAGATGACTGCATAGAAATTGCCTGTGATTCAGTGAATTTGTCCTTCCACATAAGCCCCTGAGGCGAACTATTGTTACTATCTGCATTTAACAGGTTCAGCCTTGCTGGCGTTCATACTCCTCGTCTTGATTTCAAGCTATGCTGAAAGATGACAACTAGGCTGTGCTTTGGTTGGAACAAACAGTTCTAGCCCCAGAGATAAGAAAAGACAAAATTGCCATTACCCGTCTTCCCAGGGAGTCAGCTCTAGTGTTACCTAGAAAACATAAATTGGACTTGTGAAGTTGGGTCCTGAATGCGAGAAGCCAGATCTTTTCTTATTCAGAACTTTCTGCTTTAATTTAAGACTGTGACTTCCCTGCTGGCTTCTTCTACTCCCCACCCCTTCTCATTTCCATCTTCTCTCACAGACATCTCACTGGAGTCCATTGAACCCATGCCTGCTGAAACCTCAAAAAAATTAAGCAAAAATTTGATTATGACCAAAGTATCTCAATTTGGTATTTCAGAAAAGTTGACTGGTTTTGTTGAAAACAGAAATGAGGTACTTACTGCTTTAAATGTATCAGGGACTGAGCAAATATCTTCTGAATGCTCACTGACATTCTCACAACCAGTTCCTAGATCTTTGATTTCATGGTTAGTGATGTAGGAAGTATAAGTATCTTTATCTCAGTTTATAGATGAAGATGTGAAGAGTTCACATAACTAGCTGTGAAACAGTTACCACTAGCAGTAACCAGGTCTTCTGACACAAAACTAACTTTTGCAATTGCATTTAAGTCTCCTTTTATAAATAATGTTAAAAAATGGAGTTCTTTTAATGACTCACCTTCAGTTCCCAAAGAGCTCGTTTCCTCCATTGCATTACACTGATTATTAGTCCAATTCACATTTCTTGAATTTACAGATAGATACTTAAAGTATCTGTCCTGCGTTGCCCAGAAAATAGCAGATCTTGCTGACCTCATGTAGGGGATGGTAATTGTGGATGAGCTCATTGAAGAGAAGGGGAACTAATCTGATAGCATCCAAAGAAAGAAATGTTGGTAAGATCTCTGAGGTGATCTGGGAAAGAGGTAGTTCTTCCTAGCTAAATGTCCTGAAAACTAGTGAGACACCGGTGGGCTTGGAGAAGGCCTCTGGAATAGTTCAAACCTGATGTGGTCAGGGTCCCACTGGATTTCGGAATCTAATTGAGTCTGAACATTGATGAGCAGGTGGTCACCACAGGCATCTATTTGTGTTAATTAATAAGCATGAGGAGCAGCAAAGGGACCACTGCTCCCATAAATATTTCATAAATACAACGAACAATATTCTTCCTCTTCTTCGCAAAGAGCTGATTTGACTGTCAGTAGGTTTCTTTGCTAGATCTGAGAAGACGTCAAAAATGTTAACCTTTTCTAATGACAAAAAGAAAGCTGATCCCAATCCTGTGGGTTCAGAATTGTCTGTCAACATTTTCAGGACATAGTTTGGTGATAATGCACTCCATCTATTCGAGAAGGATATTTTTCCTGCAAACATTCTACAGGTCAAAAATAAAGTTTTTAATCAGTCAAACTCTGCCTTTTATACTAAATAACTGGAAATCATTGTTATCTATTTTATGCAATTTCATGAGAATTTAAAATTTTTAAATTGGCCTTAGACATTCAGAGTTAATAATAATCTCTTCTTTTCTCTGTGATATCTCTGACAAAGGATCATCTTCATCACTAGGGGAAAACCATTTTGTCTCTGAGCAATTCCCACTGGTAAAATTGTTTTCCTTGTTTTATGTTAAAACCCCTGTTTCTATAATTCTCATCCATTGATCTTATTTCACCTCATTGGGACCAAAAGATCCGTCCCAGGCTAGACTCTGTCTAAGTCTGGAAGGTAATGTGCTCGGTAAAGCAACAGGTCAAGAAGTATTTCTCGAATCAGAAAAATATGCAAAGACGCCTACCAGATAAACTCAGCAGGGCCAAGGCACAGAGAAGAAAGATGCTTGTTACCTTCATGGCGATGTTTTGTGCCAGGAGTTCAGTCAAAAACCGCAGTGAACTTACCGCTTCTCTTCAGAAGCCTGGGACGGGAAGGGTCATATAGGCAGGATGGCAACCCAGGCTCCGCCTGCTGCCCCGTGTCACACACCTCCTTGGTTATTGATTGACTTCGTAGCACAGCCTGGCCCCCAGGTTTGGGGACTGTCCCCTGTGTAAGAAACCTGAAAGGAAAGCCGTGGGCCTGAAATGTGCAAGGCCGAGTCTCTGTCAGGAAAAGAGTTGCGGTGGTTAGTTAGTTGGTTCTCTCTCTAACTCCCTCTGTGATTATGGGGACCCCTTCCTCTCTCGAGCCCCAGTTTTCTCATCTGTAAGGTGAACTCAGAGGTCCCTTGTACTCTGTGCTTCTGGGTATATGAACAGGTGTGGATATCTAGAAAACCCTCTGCATTCTTTCTTCCTTTCCCTCAGCTTTTCCCTTTTTTATTCTTTTTATCTTTTCCTGTCACCCATCCACAAAGCCTAAATAGCTGACAGAGAGACAAGTTAGAGGCAGGGAGGACTCGGTTCCTTAAGATGTGTGTGTTCTGGGGCTAGAGTGTGCTCCCCAGAGGCACTTACTAGCTCCATGTTCAGGGACAGGTAGTTCACTTTCACTGTGCCTCCCTTTATTCATCTGAGAACTGAAATAATAGTATTACCTAACTCAAAGCGTTGCTCTTTCATTCAAAAATATGCAGTGGGTCTATCATGTGTTATTGGGAGACTAGTCTCCATTCTCTCTCATGTTTCTGCATGTCTCACAAGTGGAGACACTGGCTGCCTGCATTTCAGACAATCTTATCAAGAGTGTTTTTACAACAAACGTCTTTGGAAAGTGGAATAGTGTCTCTCTCTGGAACAAAGGGGAGATTTGTTTACCATTCAGTATAATAAAGATACTATCTCTCTCTGGGGCAAAGCTTAGGTGGACATAGTGCCCTTTTAAAAAGATGAGGGATTTTTTTTTTTTTTTGTGAGGAAGATCAGCCCTGCACTAACATTTGCCAATTCTCCTCTTTTTTTGCTGAGGAAGACTGGCTCTGGGTTAACCTCCGTGCCCATCTTCCTCCACTTTATATGGGACGCTGCCACAGCATGGCCTGACAAGCGGTGCGTCGGTGCGCGCCCAGGATCCAAACCGGCGAACCTCGGGCCGCCGCAGCGGAGCACGTGCATTTAACCGCTTGCGCCACCAGGCCGGCCCCAAGATGAGGGATTTTTAAAAAGCTTGGCATCCTTCTTTTGTAACACACTTTCTGTGCAGGTGCCACTTGGCCCTCTTCATGTTGCCCTGTGGAAACTGGGGCTTGGGAAAGCAGAACAAATGCTGACACTCTGGCTATTGCTACTGAATAATTAAGTCTCTTGTCTCTGACTCAGGAATCTATGTCTTCTGCCAGCATCCCTTTAATTGTGTCAGGCTAACTCGTTAGTTCCCAAGTAGGGTAGAATCTTAGACGCTCTCAGGTCTTGACATAAGTCAAGAACTATACTCATCTCTGGGGATACATCAGTGAGTAAAAATGATAGTCCCTGCCCTCATGGAGTTTCCATTGCATTTTAGTTGAGGGAGACAGGCAATAAAAAAGTAATCAAATAATTATAAAGTATATCAAATTATGATAAATATTATGGAGAAAAAGGATAAAGAGTATAAGTATGCTGGAGGATTTGGGAGATAGTTATTATAGATGTATCAGAGAAGGCTTTGCTGATTAAGTGACATTTGAACAGAGACATAAGAAGTGAGGAATTAAACCATGTAAATATCCAAGAACTCCAGACAGAGAGAACAGCAAGTGCAAAGTCTCTGAGGCAGAAACTTTTTTGACATGTTTGAGAAACACCCAGGATGACAGAATGGCTGGAGCAAAGTGATAGAGGGAAAGATAGGTGGTGAGATAAAGGAAGCAGTGGGGGCCTAGATTATGTGGGGTCATGTAGGCCATAGTAAGGATTTTGGTTTTTACCAAAGGGAAGGCCATTGGAGAGTTATGGCGGAGGAATGACATGATATAGCATTTGTTGGAAAAGGTCACTTTAACTGTGTTGTGAGAATAAGCTAGAAAGCAAGTACAGTAGCAGGAAAACCAACTGCTAGGCTATTGTAATAGTCCAAATAAGAGATGATGGTGCAAGTGGAAGGAAGAGGTTGATTTTGCAGTTTAGGTGAATTAATACATGTAAAGCTTTTTGAACAGTTTCTGGTACATGGTAAACACTTAGAAATATTATCCATCACTATTATTTTTATTGTTGTTATTTTTTCAGTCTTTGTAATGCTGTTCCATCTAACCAGAATGCTCTCTACCCTTATACATCAGTGAGTTCTTCCTAAGTCTTTAAAATTCAGTTTGAATGTTGTTTCTTATTGGAAAACTTTCTCAGCTCATTCTGGGCTTCCATGGTATCTTGAACATGCTTGACTTTAACACAAAATACATTGTTGAAACTGTTCATGTGTATGACTGGTTCCCCATCTTCCATTTAGGCTTCAACCTTCACCATTCTAGATTCTTCCTGCACTATTGCCTCTGAACTTGTTCTTGTTTTGGTCACCTTTAATTAATTGGTTGATTAATTCCGTGGAGATTTTTTCAGAACTCATGGCCTCTAATTCTTCACAAGCGCTTGATCACATGTGATATATTCTCTTTTCTTAGGTTTCCTGACTGCACAGTCTCCTATATTTCCTCCTACCTTCTCCATCCTCGTGTCGTCTTCATCCTCTTTATTGACTCTCGAACCTCTAATGAGTGAATACTTGGAGTTTCTCAAGTATTGGTCCTCGGCCCTATTCATGCCTCACTTTTCATTTTCCTTAGGTGAGCTCATTCATTCACATACTTTACATCATGTATGTAAATATATATGTAAATCCCAAATAGGAATCTCTTTCCCAGATCTCTCCTCTGATCTTCAGACCAGGTTTTAAGTGCCTTCTTGACAATTTTGACATCCTATAGACACCTCAAATTTAACATGTCCCATACTACTGTTTGATCATTCACCACAAATATGTTTTTCTTCAGTCTCCTCATTGCTTTTCTTCCTTCCAACTGGTTGGTCAAACCCAAACTTAAGTGTTCTCCTTGCTGCCTCCTTCTGCCTTTACCATGCACCATCTTCCACACTTAATTTGTTACCCAGTTCTCTTTTTGAATCTATGTCCAAAATAACTTCAATTCTGGACATTTCTCATCACCTTACAAAGTCGTATCTAAGATGATGCCATCATTTTGCCTTTGGCTTTCTGAAATTTCCTTCAAACAGTCTCCAAACAACATCTACTGTTATTTCTTCCTCAGAGTTACTTCCCACAAGACAGTCAAATTATCTTTATGGAATGCAAATGTGGTCATTCCACTGTCCAACTTCCCACTGATCAGAATCCCCAGGAAGGGTTTAAGGCCTGCGTGATTTGGCTCCTTTCTACCTCTCTCATTTTATCCCCTGCTTGCTCAATCTGTCAGGCTACACTGGTCATTTCCCTGTTTCTCCTTAAAAGGAAAACAAAGTTTCCAGCATTTAACTCTCAAGACTCAGGCTAAATATAGTTTTCTCATGGAGCTGCTTTTCCAAGTCTTCCTTCCCTCTTTTCTGCATCTAGACTAGGCTTTCCTGTTATATTATTTCATGATACTCTGTGTAACACTAAAACTTTATTGTATAGCTGTTTGTATGATTATTATATAATACCTCTTCACCTGTAGGGAGCAAATACGGTTATTTTGTTTACTACAGTACCTACCGAAGTGCCTGGAAAATAGTAGGTTCTAAATAAATATTTGCTGAAAACATGAATTAAATAATAAATATATATATTGATTTTCTTGAAGACCCAGATTTATGTCTTGTCAATTTCTGTGTCTCCAGTGCCTGCTATAAAGTTGTCATTCATTGCCTCATTCAGTCTTTTATTCATTCAACCACTGTTATAATCCACATAGTCATTGAGTCCCTACTATTTAAAAGCTTTGTTGTGAGTACTAGGGAAATGGATACGATTTTGGCCCTCGTGGAACTTTGGCTAAACATTGATAGCTATTGGTTGAACAAGTAAAGTTTCTTTTCTTTTCATCTCAAATCATGATTTAAATAGTACTTTTGTTGCCAATAAGAAGGTTCCAAAAGCCACTCTGATGAGGGGTTAATATTTGAGAAAGGAGACTTTCTTTGGTCTTGTAAGCAGTTTGGGGAGGAGGGAATTGGTTAGGATCTTGTCAAAAGAACTCTTTAGGTAATAATACCAGCAGTAATAACATACAGATTTAGGCCTGTCTGATGCCAAAGCCTCAGCTCTTTCTACTAAACAGTGATTTTACCCAAAGTAAAAAATCAATTTTGCATTATGACCTAGCATGTGTATACATATGAGTAGACAAATAAAATTGTTAAGAACAAATGTAGCTTTATTATATATTATGACTCTTAGTACTTTTAATTCTGTTCTGTCTCATAGTTCACCAATTTTGACTTGTAGTTTGAAAAACATTTCACTGCAGTGATATCCCCTGGACCACAGACAATCTTGATTTCTCAATCAGTATACAACCAGGATATAATTCTAGTTAAAAACTGGCCTTAAAATTGTGATGGAAAAATGGCTCTTGGAGGTAGCAAGTTGAAGAGGACATGAGAGACAGATCTGGCTCCAATCACAAATCTGCCATTTCAATTGTAACGTGACTCTGGGTAAATCATTTTCCACAACCTCGAAAATATATATCATAATATCTTCATTTAGTGTAAGAATAAACCTAGAAAATGTAAATAAATATTTTGCAAAAATATAATCTTCCATTTCCCCTGGAGTGATAATTGCTAGCTAGTAATAATATCACTCTTCCTTCCATGGATTAGAATAATGGATAATACATTTAGGCTTCATATGATCAAGGTCTTGACAGAATAAGTATTGTTTGCCCTGGGGGATGGGATGGGCATTGGCTGAAACAACTCTGCTACTGTACTAGACTATTAGTCATATTTAGCATGTTTACATGGCCCAGCCTTGTGTAAATCTCTCCCT